TAATGTGGAAGTGAAAGAGGATGGGTCAGGCGTTGAAATATCTTTAGTCAAAATTGAAGACATTATTGTAAATTTTTTTTACAAGAATAGGAAAAAGAAAAATAATTCATTTAATGTTTAATAATGAATGAATAACTATAATAGCAATTGATAAGCATAATCATAATGCAAAACAATACCCTGATAATAGCATTTAATCTAAGTAAAATTAAATATCGGTATTATGCTAGTTGGTTCTCTTCTCAAGTCTTGTTGTTTCAAAATTCATTATTTTGTAAACGACTTTCCGTATGATATACAATCTCTCTTCACCTTTATGTCATACACATCATCATCTAAACCAAACCGGTGATAGTTTGATATAATTTTAATGCATGAAAATATTTTAGTTTAATGCGTTCCCATTTTTTTTAAGTTAAACAGTTGTCTAAGTCTAACTTGGCGAGGCAATTTTAATGTAAAAATTATATCACATGATTCCGTTTAACAGTTTACTGCGGATGGGGCACAGATTTCGAAGAGTTTTTATGTTACTGTTGTGCGATAAATGTGCTTTATAATTTGACCAATACATCACAATTCCTTTCTAATCACCCAATGAAAGAACTAGAGGTTTCTTGGCCAATTCATCATTCCAAGATAAACTGAATAAGTACTTTCAATTAATGACAAAAAGTGAAAAGTTTCTTCTGCCTTGTGTTTTTGGACATATAATGTTTCAACCTCCTTAGAATTTAATAAGATAAAACTTTTTTAATTTCAAAAAGCATTACCTTTCCTTGTAATGAAAAAATTTGAACCGACATTGGTATATATTATCAAGATTACAATCAGTCAGGCCTATTTTGATAAATCTGATATAATAAACGATAAATGCTATGAATATTTCGGTTTATTTCTTCATCCGAATTTATAATTTTATCAGTCTTTAAAAAGTACATTAAATCTTATCCTCATTCAAACGAAAATTAGTGCCCACTTTAGATTTCCATTTTTTGACTTTTACTTGAAATATCAAAAAAGATAATCAGCGATATTGCCAAATCAGTCAAAAGAGAATTTTAATCAACATCTTGTATCCATCGTAACGAGACAATAATAAAATGTCTGAACTGCTGTGTGAGTATTTTTTTATCACGAAACCCAAAATAACGTCAAATTCATTTAAATCTATTTAACTTTGAAGTTATTTTACGTAATCAATTTTACTTTTAAATGCATGTGCCTTATTGGCCATGCTGTCATGTAATTGTCTACAGTGTAATTATGATGAGAAAAGAGTTTAATTGATAAATATATTCTATGTTGGATCAATTGACTATAGGGACAAAATTTGATTCTTAATGATCGTGGTTTCAAAGCGGCAGCATACAATCGAACTGTCGAGAAAGTTGACATTTCTTTGGCTAATGAGGCAAAAGATTATATATATATATTCTAATTTTTTTACTTATTTCTTTTCTAATATCAGAATTGTTGATGAATTCTTTAAATTGACATCAATATAATCGGTGCCCATTCAAATTGAAGAATTAGTAAGGTTGCTGAACATCCCCGTAAGATTATGCTTTTGGTAAAAGCAGGGTCTGCAGTTGATGATTTCATCGAGAAATTGATTCCTCAAGGGGATATTATTATCAACGGTGGCAATTCCCACTTTCCTGATACCATTCATCGAGCACAGTATTTGGAGTCGAAAAGATTCTTATTTGTTGGTTATGGTGTATCTGGAGGTGAAGATGGAGCTCGTTACGATCCTTCCCTTATGCCTGGTGGATCTGCAGTTGCTTGGTAAGACGATGCGTGACAACACGTTTTTGTTGATATTTTTATATTGTATTTGTGATAATGAAATAGGCCTCATCTGAAACTAATCTTTCAATCAATCGCCGCTAAATCGGATGGTGTACCATGTTTGTGATTGGGTTGACGAAACAGGAGCTGGTCATTACGTAAAAATGGTGCACATGGTATCGAGTATGGTGATATGCAACTTATATGTGAAGCTTATCATCGCCTGTTTGGTCTCACAAATGATAAGTGACATTTTCGTAGAAGGAGAATTGGATTGTTCTTGATTTAAATCACGACAAATATCCTTAAATTCAAAGATGAAAATGGAATTCCATTAGTAGAAAAAATTTTAGATGCTGCCGGTCAAGTGAGTTGAATCTAATTGAACTGGTCATGGTGGAAATGTGAGCGCTTCCACATATTTAGTATAGGACATTTTTTATTGATTAAATATAACACCGTAAAATGTTAAGTTATTTTGAGTCAAAATGTTTCTTTCTAATTCAAGTATTGGAAATAAATTGATGATTTCAAGGAATATGTTAATTCACCTTATAAATTTGCTTCTTCAAGACTTTCTGTTAGATATTTTTAAGACCAATTCCTGCTAACTTTGTGAACAAAGATTTGCCCAAGTAACGAGAAAATAAGTAACATAAACTTCTCGATAATAAACTTTTTATCTAATCAAGCTATCTAATTCTCATCACGCATCAAATAACACCAAGAGAAGCGCTGCTGCTGCTACTACTACTGATACCAGCACTATTACCAACTTTCCTCGCAGCATCTTTCACAGCAGCCTCCATCAACACACGGTACTCTTTAATTAATTCCTGTTCTTTATGTTCGATCACTTTATCATAATCAATTTTGGATTGTTCGATTTCTTTCGCATAATCGTGTCTTTCGGTGGCGAATGGATCGATTATAGAACTTTTTCGCTGAATTGATTTAATGTGTATGTAAAATCAGTATAAATTCCTAATTAAGAATTCTTTTACATAGATATTATCACACATACCTTTTTCAGTTCGTCCAGCTCTTGTTTGAGTAGTTCGAATTTAGGGTTTGAATTTTTTACTGTGGAAATGAAAATTTTGTATAAATGAATATAAAAAATTTAAGCACATAAAGATGGGTAAATTATTTTATATTCCTTTATAATATATACTCACTCATTCACTCACATTTATCCAATACCCCGTCAACATTCCTACTCAACGAAGAAACACCACTAGCAAACTTATCAGGCGCATCCTGCGTCAAGATAATACACCGTTCCAAGTTTTCGCGTTCTCGATTATTTCGTAGAGTCTTAAATTAATAGATTTTTTTTATTAAAAGATCAAATTGATTCAAATGCAAAAGGAACAAACGAGAAGAAAAATACCTCGAATTCTCTCACAAAGTTTTTACTCTCTTTTTCGAAATTATCTTTTGAATGTCCAAATACTGTGTCTATCAAATTACCAAAATCTAATACCAAATTTAATGCCTAAATTGTTAAAATTTGAGATTTAAACGATTTATTTATTGTATTCATTAAAAAGAAAGAGCAAACCTCGAACAAGATTCTTTGGCTCAGATTTAAGCATCTTATTAATCTTTTACATAGATGGTAAAATTCAAGTATGTTCAAATTTTATCGTTATTTAAAAATGTAACGTTTCACTTTTGGATCTCAATTTTAAATCATAAAATAAACTTTTAATTATGCCACCAATTATTTTCTTTCAAAGCAATTATTGTGTGATCAAATGTAGACTTAGATTTTTTAGGGTTGGACTGACCTTAGATCTAATGAACGTGTTTAATGTGAACTTATAGTTAATGAACCAACTGACCATGAAGAATTGATCCGTGTTCATTTTAGGTAGCAAAGACTTTAACCAAGATTTTTTTTTGTTTTATTGTTTCTTATCCGCTATTATTCTTATTTTCCCACATTAGTAGCTATGATCTGATAGTTATATAATTTTACATTGTTTCGAACCATGAATGGATAGGTATAAAGATGATGATATATTATCTATTCGGTCATTCACTTGGATTGTCTATTTTTACAATCTTTATCGTCTTTTATGAGAGAATGTTCAGTGCGTTGAATCGGATAAGTGAGCGATGATGATTTGATTTCTAGTGATAATTTGTCATGATGAGTCATGTACAATTAATTTCAATATATGTACAGTAATTGTTTATTTTTAGGAATACATTGATTAACTAAAAATCATTTTATGATGAATTAAAGAAATTTGATGAAATCAGAGTTTGATGAAATGTTCAAATATTGTCTTTTAACTTGCTTCGGTTTCTTGAGCAGCATTTCCATTTTCATCAAGGTACTTTGCAGCAGCAATAATAGCTGATACATGAGATGTGAAGCAATTCTGCATAAACTTTTGCTCAATATCACGCGCTTTTAACTTGAAAGGTCCCTTCATCACTTTTGACGGATAAACCGTCTTTGTAAATGGGGTATTGATAAAACTCTTTGCATCCCAATTCTCGATGATCGGAGGACGTTCCGGGAATCCAGCTACCAATTTATCATCTAATTTTGATGGCACCGTACGTCTCGGGTAAGGTCTCCCATTATGATAGACGGTGAGCTTTTCATGAACACGCGATGATGAGTTAATTTTTTGTCGCGCCGCAAATGATTTAAACCTTTGACTGTTGCTGTCTTCTTCGTCTGTCGAATCTAATCCGTTGTGATATGTACGTGGTCTGGCCCCAAGTTTTTGTGAACGCGTAAATGCTCGTGTTGAGCGAGAGGCAATTATATCATCGGTTAGAATGTCGTCGGGTAAACTGAATTCTAACAAATTTGCTTGGTTGGAAAATAGTTTGTCAAAATCCGCTATAGGAAATCGGAAATTTGTCGTCTTTGGTGTATCGTTGTCGGTAATGTGATTTTCGTGGTTATGATGGTTAACGATAGTTGCGTCATCATAATGATTTATAGGGTGCGAATTAGAAGAAGCTTCTGCCATTTTATTATATAGGTTTTTGGTGGGATAAGACACAACTAACGAGTAAATACTTTGAGAAAATTCTTGGGATATAATAACGAGATAATTTAGAAATGGAAATTTTTTTTATATTGGATCCTAATCCGATTGAGCTACTCACGTTCGTTACACATTCTACTTGTTATTTGAAATTCTACAGATCTACACTGATCCATTTTCCCGAAGAAGGACGATAAAGTGTTTTGCCTCATTTCTCATACCTTTGCAAACTTTCCTTTTGCGTTGTAGTCATCTTGGCTTCTACTACTTATTTCACTAATAATACCTCCTACCTTGAAATATGTCGCCTTCAAACACGAAAAAATATGTCGCGGATGGCAAGTAAAAGCTATTATTTTTAGAGATTTCAGAGTTGCTGTCAAAAATTGTTTCTGAGCTCTTACCAGGTTCACTGTATATAGCGGTGTTATTTGCGATCTCCCAAGTAGCACTTTACTTTGCTGTCAAATTCATTCTTGGCTCGCTTGATCCCATGAAGGATAAAAAGAAAGAGGCAAAAGCTAAAAGCAACGAGGTCTTGGGGAAACTAGGGGTGAATATCTTTTTTGCATTATATTTCGAAAAATTTCTTTCTTGACACAGTCGATGCGAGAAAGCTAGAAATCCTCAATCAATGTGCTTTTATGCGTAGATCAAGGATATGAAGTTAAATGAATACGAAGAAATCATCTTGTCTGAAGTAATATTTGCCAATGAAATCTCAGTGAATTTCAAACGTGAGCATATTATTAGATAATTCTCTCAATTTCGGTTTTTATGTGATAATGATTTCTAATATTTTCAATTTTCTAAAAATGACGGATCGATTGCCATTTTAGAAATCGGAGGTGAATCAGATTTATTTTTTAATGATTAACGCAACTTGATGATTACTTAAGATCATTATTTATTTCAAAAAGGACTCGATCCCATAATTCAATCTCTTCGCGAGTCTGTGATATATCCGCTGTGTTATCCCCAGCTTTTCAAGTCACAATCGGGATTATTGGGTGTTCCCAAGGGAGTTTTACTTTATGGGCCTCCTGGTATTCACAAGTTTTTTTCTCTTTTACTATCTTGAAACAATTATTTTTCATTTTGCATCATTTGATTATGTACAGGTGTTGGGAAAACAATGCTGGCAAAAGCACTTGCTCGCGAATCCGGTGCTACTTTCATAAATCTTCATGTGTCCACTCTAACCGATAAGTGGTTCGGCGAATCAAATAAGCTCGTGTCCGCGGTGTTTTCAGTCGCAAAGAAATTGCAGCCGTGCATTATTTTTATAGATGAGATTGACGCATTCCTTCGTGAAAGGAGAAGTAGTGATCATGAAGTTACTGGGATGATGAAAGCCGAATTTATGAGGTACATATTAGTCTAGAACTAAAAAAAAATATTATGAGAATAAATCATCATTATTCATTATTTACAGAATTTAATTTTTTAAATTAGTTTATGGGATGGATTAACTACCGATGACAACACCCGTGTTATAGTGAGCTTAAATTCATTGATTATTTTTGATATTTCAAAGAGATGGTCGAATTGATCTTTTGCGCGACGTTCTTTTTAGGTGCTGGGTGCTACGAATAGACCTAATGATATTGGTAGATACTAATTCTAATGACTATATAAGAAAATGGGTTTAGTCTCGTCAACATTACTAATCTAGGCTCTCGTTTTATAAAAGATTATGCAATCCTTCGTAGGATGCCAAAACGATTCGCTATTCGGCTTCCAAACGAGGAACAACGAAGAAATATCTTAGAAATAGTGAGTTGACATTCCAATTACGGAAATTAAATGCGATTATGATTAACCTCAAAGCTTACCAACATCATCATAATTTGTGAACTTTGTTTTTTCATTAGATGTTATCAGATCAAAATTTAGAACCTGATTTTGACTATGATCAATTAGTCGCTAGAACAAACTCATATTCTGGAAGTGACTTAAAAGAAGCTTGCCGGAATGCTGCTATGATTCCAATACGAGAATATATGCGAAGTCATTCCACGCCAGAAGGCGAACTGACTGATATAGATCCAAAGGTAAAAATTTTATTGGGGAACTTGATGTTGCTTCAAAAGCTTAACTGAATCTTTTGATTTTATGTTAATTAAATAGAATATGAATATCCGACCATTGCGATTTTCGGATTTCTTTGTCCCGGATTGTACCACAAATCTTAATGATACTGCTTCTAATTCGGCAGGGTCAAGTAAAGATAATGAGATATTGGAACAAGAAAGGCTTGATTAATTGAACATTCAAAATTGATTGATTTATAACGATACTATAGATTTTGAGTTTAGATAGAAATTTGCATAAATATGAATTTTTTTTCTTTTTTGGCATTGAGTTATAACATGATTTCATAATATTCATAACGATCCAAGAGTGAGCATAAAAATATGCATCACTTTTAATTAAAATGATCATGATGAAAGGAATCAATAAATTTCAATCGCTTTTTCGGGTCGCGTGATGATAATCTCGTACCAATCATGTGACATTGTGCGTGCAAATGGATCAGGTTGGATTTGATACACATGACATTATATATATAATTGATATTATCAGAAAGAAATATAAGAGAAATATACAGTGTGGTCCATAAGTATTCGGAATTAAAAAATTACTCGTCACACCACAATCAATGACTTAAATCACATGAAATTTATACATTTCGAAGATTAAGACCAGCTAATTTATTATATTATTTTTAATATGATATATGCTTGCCATTGCTTTCTATAACAAGCTCACAA